ATTACCTGAATTCATCAGAGTTGAAAGGCCAATGAAACCACTTATGAAACCTTGGGTAAATGATTAAAATCATGGTATCGTAGTGTACATACACAGGGAATAGGTAAGGAGTGAATCTAAAGCAAGTTGTCAATGATACAAGCATGAACTGAAACTTTGGAACCTTCATAACAATATCATAATATAACACAAATCATACAAATTTTTACATGTTAAAATTTAAAACAAATTTAATTTTTATCAAATTTCAATTAATAATATTTTAAATGCTTCTGCAGATTGACCTTCATTCAGACATGCAAAACACCTACCACTACACGAAACACTACATTATGCATTGCCAGATCATTTCACTTTGCATTCATGTACATTATGGCAATCCATTCTGATTTGGTAAAATCTGCCACTCAACTCAGCAAGGTTCAGTTGCAGTTCTCCATGACCACCTCTTTTATTCCTTCGATGATTCTAAAATTCATTTACAGGTTCTTTTAAACATATATTTTGTGAATTATCGATTCTGTGGTAGCTTTTTAATTCTTTGAGCAGCGACTTACATTCTTTTATTTATATTGGCAAGTTTTGCAGACATAACTGCAAACCAAGGTATTGATCAAATTCTCTCATTCACTTTTAATGCATGCAAATCTACTAAGCTTTGTCAGCTTCCTCCATGCTGTGACAAGAGATCAATATGGTCTGCAGTGTATCTACAAACCTTGTTCTAGGTCAATGTATGCTTTCATATGTCATTTGCTGGTTTGGAAATTTATTGATTTACCTTTATTTCATGGATCAGAACTGCAACCACCTATAAATTGTACCGTGAATCACCACTACAACTTTAACCAGGAAACCTTCAGTAACAAACCCAAACCTTCAGGTACCTAAAAACTCCATTTCTAGCATGAAAAAGTCAGATCTTAGCAACATCATTGACCTTGAATTCACAATACCCACATACACTAGGCCTATAAAATTGTGTTCCTGATAGCCAATTTTGTCAGCTTATGAAAAACATTTTCAGTAAAATCTAAAAAGAAACAAACACTGAAATTAATTTCAGAACATTTTTGAAGAGAAGTTTTACAAGACTCAATTGTAACAGAAGTTGCATAGATTAAATTATTACTTTGCACTTATTTATTGCTGTGAAAGAAAATTTCATCAATTGAAGAAAAATATAAAATGCATTTAAGAATTAAAAAGTTATTTTTATTAAAAATTTAAAGAAGATATAAAAGTTTTCAAAGTAGGTACAGGGTAACGATACCAGTCTTTGACAGGGGTACTAGTATGCGACAGTCTCAATTTTAAATCATTTTATTAAGCTCCATGGCAATGTCAAGGGTTTTAAAATTTAATAAGTAGCTCAAATACTGATATCCCTGTTGAAGACTGGTACCGTTACAGTTACTATAACCATGCTCTCTAGAGCACTCCTGAGTCGCTTATTAAATTTTAAAACTCTGATGTTGCCACGGAGCTTAATAAAAGGATTTAAGATTGAGACTGTCAAATTTTGGTACCCCTGTCAAAGTCTGGTTTCCGCTATCCTATTAAATAGTTTTATAAAATTGTTTAACATTACTATCCATTGTTCCCATTGCCAGTTGATTGCCCCAAACAGCAATCTGATTTCCAAGGAAGACAATCTAAGTACAATTTATTAATAGACAATTTTTTGCATTTTTTATTGTTTTAGAGACTTTATTTAAGTACATAAATATATATTGCAGCACACACTTTTGAAATTAAATTGAGAATATATATAGCAATTCAAAGGTGATGAGAGGGAGAAAGCTTACTACTAGCATAGACTAAGTCTCGATTTACATGCTTTCTTTTGACCAACAATTTCAAAGTTTCAGCAAATATGCTCATGCATGGTGTGGCTTGTATTTTGGAGTTTGCGAAAATTTGCATGTGTGCATTTGCTAAAACTTGAAATCCTTCATCAAAAGAAATTGTGTAAATGAGTCCAAAGAAGTGCTCGACTACAAAAAAGTGAGGTATCGTTTACTCCAAGTATTCTTACTGTTTTCGTGTTTTCTTATCTTCTAATTGGTAACATCTGCTTCCCAGACTACTACCTAAGCTCAGTTACTAGCTAATAGACTTTGTTTTGCAAATTTTGGCTGCACTGATTATCATATCAGCTTGAACTCAAGAGTTATTTGTTATTCGAATGTATCTTAGGTGTGACAACATAGAAACATATTTTTGAGACTCCATTTCATGGCACCAAGTCATGTACGTTTATGTTACTCTTCTGTTTTAGAAAATACTAGAATATAATGCATATACAGTATGAGTCATTTATTGCAGTAAGAAAACACACCAGCCTGTTTCTTATAACATTAGCAATGAATAATTTGTTTACCAATTTGACCTTGTAATCTACATTCCACAAAAAAGTGTTTTTTGTAATTTTCTAATTTGTTGAGCTTATATGTTATTCGAACTTAGTAGGATTTTCCGAGATTTACATTACTGATGTAGACTCACGAGGCATAACATTTACAAATAGTGAGTGCAGTGCAATTCTGATGGCTAGCTGGCAGGCTATGTTTCTGAAGGCTAATCTCAGATGTGATCGCAGGACTACATGTGATACACAGCTGACATGCACCTCAATTCTGTCCATTCACTAATTTTATTTTTCATTGCTTGTATTCAACAGAAATAATTTTTTTCTTTGATACTCCTTAAAACTATCATCAGAGCTTCACACTATAAGCACAACCTTCTGGATATTATTGAAGAGAAATGTTCAACCAACTGCCTTGAAGTACTATTGAGTTTCTTAGCAAAAATGACTTAGGAAGCATTTGTTCATTTATTAGAGGAAAAGACCCTGTTTCTTTACTGCATGAAATGACAGCCTGTATAAATTTTATACCACTTACTTTGTAGGTGCAAAACCATACTAGTAGTTGTGCATTACCAGATTGCTTAACTTTTATTCCTTTTATGATTCTCAAATTCATTTACAGGTCATTTTAAAATAATATAATGCTGATTTATTATTTCTGCAGTAGCATTTTTATTATTTGAGCAAAGATTCACTTCAAGATGCACTCTCTTTCTTCCCACTGACAAGGTTTTCACAAACATATACAGGCTGAGAGAGAGAGAGAGTCATTTCTGGTAGAAAAACAAACGTCAACATATTCCTCTTCAATCTTAGAAAGAGATAATTTGTTTACCATTTTGACTGAAAAGAATGAAGTTTCATAGCAAGTGAGTTTTGTAAATTTTCAATTTCATCACACCCGATTAATGTCTTGAAACTTAACGCTTCCAAGACTTGAATCACTGTTGTAGACTCAGGAAGTCAGTGGTGTCATTCATGAACACAAAGTGCAGTGAAATTCTGATGGCCTGCTTGAGGGCTGAGGTTCTTATGGAACAAATTAGGTTCAATTAGAGGCCTGTACGCAAATTGGGTTCAATTGCAAGGCAGTCATAATTTGTACTTCTGTTTCCACAATTCACAAATTTGTGTTTTCCTTCATTTGGATAAAAAATGTTTTACTTTGGAAATACCTAGAAATATTATTGGGTCTTGGATTCATTATAGGCACAACCTTGTGAATATTATAGATGAAAAAATACCCAAGGAACTGCTGTGCAGAAAGAAAATGTTTCTGTAGAAAATGCTGTTAGAAACATTTGTTCATGTAATTGAGAAGAATAGAGAGTAGAATTTTTTTCCTAATTAGATTTTAGAATGATTGGTTGATTAATTGATGTTTCCAGGCATGTCAACTGCTATGGTCATTACTCTCGTTACTGTGACGAACGTTTTATCCTAGGAAGTTGTGGTATTCCCCACTCCCTAGAAGGTGAGATCCGGCACTGACCTACACATCTGTTTCAGGATATTTCCCTCTTCAGGTATCTCAGGAGGCAGTGCCCCACACAGGAAAAGCTTTAAGCTCTTGACAGGACTCCCAATAAAGATGGTGAAGTACTGGATGTAAATGTGTGTGTTAGTAAGGTGAGAGGATATGACACGGAAGGGGAAAAAATATTGCACAGTCCAGAAGCATTTGATACGTAACTGCTACGGCAACTGCCTGGAATTGATCAGAGAAACTGCAGAAAACTACTAAAAGTGAATCTGACTGCTAGGATTCTCCTCCAGACAGCAGGTGAATTCAACCTCGCCATACATCTACTGATGAAAATCCCCCCCCCCCCCCCTTCTAGGACTCAAACCCTCGGACCCCTCCTATCACAGATGCTGCAGAGATAGCAGCAATGGCACTTCTGAGCTAAACTCAGCTGGTTAGGTTGTAGATTCTACTTAACTGTGTTTATGATTAGGTTTGTGAAGAAGTACTTTTCTTTTCTAAGTAATTTTCACTCATACACACCCACAAAATGTTTGTAGTATTATAAAAATGTTTTCTTTTTTTTCTTTTTTTTTCTTCTTGCATTTGTGTTACTTTAATTGTTTCCCATTAACTGTAATTCATTTTTATGACGTTTCACTAACATTTAAAAATAATTACAAAGTATTTATTCTACAATTCCTACTAATTATGTGAAAGTATTATATGAAGAATTATCAGAGACTGATGATACATTACATACCAACACAAGAGATGGTACTAGTTGAAGGTTAACATTAGAAGACATTCAAATATATTTGTTGTCCTGCATGTAAAAGTAGAAAAAATCTGAAGCACAATAATTACTTCCACAGCGGAGTCAAACTTTCTGTATGAACAAAAAAATAAATAAAATGGTTTAAACAAAGATAATGGCCTATAAGGTCATTCTCATGATTAGTTCACTTTTTGAATAATATAAATTATCCATCACAGGGAGAGGGGAATCACAGATGCATGGCCAAGAATGGGTCCAGCACTTCTGATCCTGTGTATGACATGAAATACACACCATGGAAGTGTAGAGACTAACTAGCTTTGGCTGGAAAAAGCTCTAATAAATATTAATTAAATCTTCATCAATCTGAATATTTGATTTCTGAACAGCACAGGTACATGCATGGGGGGAGGGGGGGGGGTCAGGTCATTTTGCACCCCAAAGCGAGATGTTAACCCTCCAGATAAATGCTTGATTTAGAGAAATAATAAACACAAATGCTTATTATTGTTCAGAATATCAACATAAAGAAAAGAATGATAAACTAAAATTAATTCAACAATTATTGAAACAATAATAAATTATGCATATCAAAGCTTTCTTCTCACAAAATGAATAATTATTTATTAAATATATGATAAGCACCAATAAGCCAAAATAAAAAAATAAAATAATATTTAGTATAAAAAATGTACCAAAATTGTGATCTCTTGGTTTGTGCCCCATTGCCTGGTTTGCCTACAGGAAGCACCTGCCCTGGGTACATAGCGTCCGAGGTAAATGACTGCTCAAGATTTCAAAGTTGTCAGTCTTCCTTAAGTGTTTACCACCCACACACAATTATCTCACAGGTGTCTCTTGCAAGGGAAAATACTCCCAATATTTTCAAGTTCATCCAGTAGTTTTATTCTAATTTCATTTTTTTCCATAGGTACTTTCAGTATAACACACTATAATAATGATATTTATTTGTAATATAATATTCAGACAGTGAAGTAGTGACATGAATGGACACAAAAATGATTTGCTGTTCATTATCAAAAAAATGCATGGGCTTCTCAACTGATAAGTAAAACTACTCCCATGAGCCTGTTTTCATATTTATTGAAGAGGAACAAATACTACATTGCCTTCCAACACTACCACTCTAACTACTGAACCATAGTTGGCACCGTCTTCTTGGCTGTTGTTGTTTTCTAAGTTTATTGTCAGAGTACATTACTGAATTCCTGAATAGCTGTGATTTACCTTCAACTTTTTTTATCTGTTGCATGCTCCTTATTAACTTCAATGAAACAAGTAAAAAAATATCATGGACTTTACGAGAATTCTGTAGAGGTACACATTTCCTTTGATGTTCTCCTCCCCCAATTTTACAAGCCAAAAATGCCCATGAATACTGAGAAAGGGGGAAAGACTAGGGGTCAATTGGCTTTTAGAATCATTTAGGTGAGGCATGACCAAAACAAATGTAGGTACCACCAAGTACATCATTTGAAAATTGAGCAGAGAAGCAGAGGGGATGCAGAAGGCTCTCAGAGCATGCAAGCAGGCAGGCAATTCACCTGCTTGTCACATGATCCACCAGGTGCTGTTTGAACATGCTGCCCCATTTGCACACTGTGTTCAGAAGGGCATGCTTGCAGGGCCGCACATCAAGTTGAAACCAACAATTAAAGACCTGCATGGACTCCAACACTTCCACTTCAGCATACAAACTTTCAAATTGATCAATCTGCAAGGATATGAAATTAAGAATTCATACTCACATTTTTTGTATGCACAAAACTGCAATTTGTCATATTTAATAAATAACAAATAATAAACAAATCTATAAATACTAGAGAAAATATATGAAGAAGTGTCTGATTAGCAGATTACAAATGTTCACTACTTCACCACAGTTCAATTACACTAATTGTAAATATCAAATGTTAGAAAATACTGTATGCAAGCACATCATAATAAAAAAATTGAAACTGTGATTTTTATCAAAACTATCTATTAATTTTTAAATTAAGTTCTGTTTGTTTAGAGAGAACAGAAGACATTATCAATTAATTATTATAAACTGAGAAGTAATATGCAAAGGTTATTTAAAGAAATATTACAGAGGCACCTGTTCTTTGAATGCTTCCAGTGTTGGTGAAGAAAAGGGAATGGCATTGTCTCCTTCCAGAGCCAACTTCTCCTGGTCCTCCAAAGACAGTTGTCGACCATAATCCAAAAACTGTTGCATGTAACTTTCACGATCATCCAGCCACAAATAAGAATAATTTTCAAACTCTTCACTGAACATCTGAGCCTGTAAAAATTCAAAAGTTGCACAGAATAGCCAAAAACTTTTGTCACATCATGAATAATAATTCAGAAGTAGGATTGTATTCCAGAAAAAAAAATCAGTGACTGAATTTCTAAATTTATTGGCGTTTCTAAGAACTCGCATCAGAATTCATTTTTAAACTGGTTATTGTAAGTAATAAGTGGATTTAATTTAATTTCCAACTTTTTAGAAATAAAGAACTTCTTTCACAAATATTGGTAACTTTTTTTAGTTAGTTGGCACAAGAGCAAACAAAGTTGTCCACATTGGCACAAGAGCAAAATAGCAAACTAGTGGTGCTGCAGAATGGCACACTTTCCCATATTAGTTTTCTATTTCCTTTGGTCTCGACTAGCTATTCAAACTTGCCACACACTCTTGCCTCCTGCCATCTATCGCCGCCCAAAGTACATTTTTTTGAAACTTTCTTCATTTTTCAGTTTTCCAATAATAAAACGGAAATATTATTTTAAGCGTATTAAAGAACTGTAAAACCTTGTCCTAAATGGCAATTTTATTTGCAAAATATGGAGCCGTTTTTAAGAAAATGGTGCTTAAGCGCTTCAATTTATTCTAGATTTGAAGAACATTTTCACAGAAAAGTTTTGAGTTTAAAAGAACTTCATTCTAAGTCATTAGAAGCACTTTAACTCGCAAACAGAATAATGTTTACAAATTGCCGGAAATGTGCATATTACTGGCGTGAGAGATCTTTCAGAAAAATTACATTTGTGTAATTACATTTGTGTAAAATTACACAAATGTAATTTTTGAAAAAACAAAAAATATCCCAAAATTAATTTTACCTCATGTTAAAGAGTACTATATTTTCGAAAAGTTTGAAAAAAGAAATTGAAGCTGTTTTGAGAAAATGACATTTGAGCGTTTCTCAAATTGCAAAATTTTGAGCTAGTTTTGACAGAAAATGGTTGAGTTTTCGAGAAGCTATATATGACATTATTTAAAGTATATGTACTCATAAATATAAAACGTGAAAAAATTGCCACTAATGTAAATATGAACGACATTAGAGACAAGTCAGAAAGATTTAATTTTTGTAATTTTTGAAGGAAAAAAAAGTATAGAGCAATACGGAATTTGTCTTTTCATAGAGTGAATTAAGCACAATCCCTTTGAAAAGTTTAAAGAAAAAATTTGGAGTTATCTTTTTAGAAAATCAACGACATTTAGACAACGACGACAATGACAACTGTCTGAGCCAATGACCAATTCTCTGAGTTAACTTGCCATGAGCATCACCTCCTCAATGGAAATGCTATGAATTTCAAATTTGAGTCCATGCTTAAAAATGTTATTGGTTCAAACCAATATTTTCAACATGTATTTTTCAAACTTCAAGAGACTTCAAAGAAAATGAAACCTACACCAATCTTTAAAGCATCCCTTGTTTAATACATGGAAAAAATTTACAGAAAAAACAAAAATATAAGTTTTTGAGAATTTTTTTAAAAATTTGTATTAATTTCAATCAGAAATTTTGTGAAAACTACTAATTTCTTTAAAAAATTGTATTTGAACTTTTTTGAATGAGCTAATATTTTAGATCATATTTTGTTGAAGACAAAAACATTTTTCTTCAATTTTGTAGTTTTAAAATGTTAACTTTTTGCAACTTTCAAAAATATTAAGAGTTCACCAAAGAAGGGATTAGCACCATATTTTTTTACCATCACAAGGAGAAAATTTGAAGAAAAATTTGGAGCAGTTTTTGAGAAAAAAATTGTTTAAGAAAATTAAAAATTGTCTATATTTCACATGAAATGACAAAATTGTTTAAAAAAATGAAAAATTTCATTAAGGAAAAAATCTCTATCTTCAATATTGAAGTTGAAGCAAGACGCCCAAAAAATTGCACTTTTGCACACCATTCTCTGAAGTATCCTTTACTCTTTCCGAGGACAAAAGAAAATTTCGAGCCATTTTTGAGAAAATTTTTAAAATGTCAGGATTCATGAAAGTACCCTCAAAAATCAACATTTCAATTTGAAACTCCCACAGCTTTAGCTTCTGCTTTAGCTTTGACCACAGACAAACAGACACACTGACGGATGGTCAGACGGATTGATGAACGTTTTGCTATCAATCAATTTTTTGGTATCAAGGACCCACAAAATGTGGATTCTGACTACAGTATGAGAAAGAGGAAGTAATTTATTATATTTAGGAACATGATTTATCCACTTTTTCGTTATCAGGCTCCAATAATAAGAGTTTTTCTGCTGAAAATTCACCATTTTCTGGTGCATGATAACAATATTTTCTTTTCTTCCAATCATAAGAGTCAGAAAAAAATTTGCAAATGTTCATATTTTGTTAAATTTTCTCAATTTTGAGAATTTGTTCACGTTCAACATTTTATCTGCATTTTCCTACAACTACAATATTGAAAATAGTGATTTCTTTCTGCAAATTAAATTTGTTCTGCAGAATTAGTTCTTTAATTAATGTCAAGTTCATTGTTTTAAAAGTACAAAGTTCAGTAGTTTTGTATAACATTTTAATGAAATATGGGCGATATTGAATAAGGATTTTCTCGAAAACAGCTTCAAATTTTTTCTTTAAACTTTTTTATCTAATAATCCTAAATGCTCTGAATAACGTGACACACCTAATTTAGTTTTTGTATTTTATTTTTTTTCTAAAAATTACATAAATGTAATTTTTAGAAAATATTTCTCATGTGAATATATACAACATGGTTGGTTGTTTTTTTTTATACTTTATTGCATTTGAGAGTAGAATGACTTTAAAAGATTTTTTATAAAGTTTCTCAAAAACCCCAAAAGATTTTTGTTAAAATGAGCTCAAAATTGTGCAGCAATTTTCAGAAATGCTTCAACAACAATTTCTCAAAACTAGCTCCAATTATTTCAAAGAAAAATCACATACAGAACCAGGTTTGGCTCTTCTGTAATTCTCTAAAAGTTATATTTCAATTCTATTATTAGAGATGTGAAAAATTAAGAAAACAATAAAAAAAAAATCTTTAGGCGCCAATAGATGGCAGGTGAGAAGATAGTGGAAGAAAAAACAAAAAGAGAGCTTAGATTGAAGAGAAATGGAAACTAACTAGTTTGAGAAAGGCTGGGCCAAGCACCATTATTTTAGTTAAATGAAAAAACATACTAAAAATTTCACATAACAGGTGATAATTTAAAAAAAATACGTAAAATACTTTGTTTTGCCATGAAACCAAGTGCTCTGCTTAGAATAAAAGTGCTCTTCTGCAAAAGTACAGTATTTTAGATGTGGATATATTTTTATGGGCTGATGATATATTTGAAATCATTAAATATAAATTTAAAAGATTTTATTTCATTCATTATAAAACTCACCTCATTAAGTACTTTCTGCACAGCTTCAAATATTTCTTTCCTCATTTCTTGTATATCTTCATTATTTTCAATCTCTGTCTGACATTAATAGGTAATACATTAAGCAATAAAATCCAAAATAAGTATCAATACTTAGCTAATTTTTCATTGCCTACATAAGACACAGATTATGTAAACTAATATTTACTTGATAGTCCTTTGCTTCCTTCCCTTGAGATATGCGAGGAACAAGACTTGCCATCTTTAGAATATCCTGAATAATACTGTCTATTAATTTGGAAAAACTGTCATCATCTTCAGGATTTAATGATGGAATAAACACCAGATCTGGTTCTTGCAACTCCAGTTGTGCTTCAAATAATGGGGCATAGTTGTTAGCAGGATCCATGTTTTCTGATATGTAACTGAGACTGAAAGAGACCAATCATCTAATTGGTAAGATAGTAGCCTGGGCACTAGTAAGGAATAAATATTTCCATCATTAAACTATGCCTAAATCAAGAATTAGTTTTAACACTTTCAGTTCAGAGCCTTTAAGACTATGTTAATTTCAAAATCCTAGCCATTTTGAGATATTTTGGAGAATTTTTGTTAAGTGATAAATCAAAGATAAGTGTATGAAATTTATAGAATATATAAAACATTGAAACTTACTTAACCAGGAGAAAAAATATTGACTTGGGATGTTAAATGAAACTTGCACACTATTAATTTAAATATTACCCTTTATTGTCCAATGAAATGTCTACACACTAAATATATTCAGACACAATTTACACATGAAAGCATAAGCTTTCATAGCCAGAGTCAATATATATTAGGCTGTTTGGAAGATGCCATCTCCTAGGCACAAATGTCAACAGTTTTGGTCATCATACAGTTACCTTCCTCAGAGTGAAATCTGTGGAGGTGGACTCCACATGGGAGATAGAACCAAGAACAAATTTAATTTGTTTTCGTAGAGGTATTCTAAAATATTCTGTACATAGAGAAACATGAGGAGACTTATGATGTTTTTACACGTAACCAAAGACTGAACATTGCTTGTTATCAGCGGCAAAGCGTGGTATATGTGATATCCGAGATATATTCATGCTTCGTTCACTGGAATTAAACTAGCAGCCAAAGCAAGCTTAGGCAAAGGATTGAAAGTGTTACAAAATATATTTTTCAGTACCAGTCCTTAAGTGGTTCTATAGTTTCTTAGAGCTTCAAATTTGAGGTCAGTATTGAGGAGGGAAAAACTATGACCACCAAATTGGTATGCTAACACCAAACAAGTGAACAAATTCCATTGGCTCTTCAATTTTAGGTGGAATTTCATCATTATGTTTAAGAAACATTCATAAATTCACTTATTCATTAAATAGGCAATCACCCAAAATACAATATATTACAAAATGTGTACGGTTAATGTCAATTAAATACATTTAAGTACTTAATTCTAGTTAAGAAATTTAAGGATTCCTGTAGTTCATTACAAGAATCCTTAATTTTCGATTTTAATCTCATCATGCACTCTTTATTTTATTTATTTACGTCAAAAACAGTTAAAAACTTGTGTGACGTGCTATGGGGAGAAGTTAATTTGAAGTTACATTTATGTCCAGAAGCAAAACAAGGGGCCATCTCAGTATTTGCTCGAGGATCAGGGAAACTGGACGAAAACCAGATCGAGATGGGGGACCCATTATACAGTATTTCAGTACAACTCTTGTTTGTGCAGATGTGTGGTTTTGCGATTCCGTCACTAGACCGTGGCTAGACCACTTCCCGTGCACCAATTGTTTGAGGTGTCATTCAGATATTGTCGCATCTCTGTCAGCCGAAAGCCCACTTCTTCCACACAGAATATGGTGAGAGTTCAATGATCTCGATAACGAAGCGAAGCTGTCGAAGAGATGGTTCTCGGCCTGTCACATCCACGGCCACGGACTCCTACCGGAAAGCGCACGGGGAAAAACAAAAGGTACAAATAGAATAGAAAAATATACTTCAGTAGAAAAACATTTCTAACAAAAGTTTTAAAAGGGTCGAAAAACTTGAATATGCGACACATCACTCTCATCCATTAAGCCGACGTCCCTGAAATGAACGTTGTTATGTTCGACTTCTCACTTTTACGTTCTTACATAAGTGTGCAAACAGTAATTTTCAAATAAATGTGACCCACAACTTATTCTTATTCAACTAAACTAACAACTTATTTACATAAACATACAAAAACTAGCACCATTTAATGTTAGAGTCGCATACAAAACGATTAATAGAGCAATTGCAGAAGTAGAAGTGAACACAAACTAGACAGACTTTGAGAAGTTTTAATCTTCAAAAATTAGGAGAGAAAAATATGGAAGTTTTAAGGAAATCCGGGAAAGAATCAAATGTACTTGTAAAAGGTTTGCGATAGAATTCGTTACTAACTAGGAATGATATGCACTTTTGCATTTAGCATTTGTGCTAATGCAAAGTGCTATGTGCATTTTTGTGCAAATATTATGTACGGTGAATATAATTTTGAAATTGCAATAAAGCCGGTTCAAATCCCGGAGGTAACGCACAAGGCCACTGGGTGTTGGGAACTTTTGAACGGCAATATAACATTACCAGCTACTACGGTTCATTAAGTCCGATGCCAGATACTGAAAAAATATTTTCAACAAAGCTGGTCATGAAAGAAATGAAGTATAAATGAAATTTTTAACTCATAAAACTATATTTATAACAGTTTACAGCATTGATGACTTTTCGCTAGTAATGCGTACGAGTCACTAAAATTTTGTGAATCTTCAAAACTTTATCAGTGTAAAAGCTGAGCTCAAATATTACGTAGGTCACCAAATAAACTATTTTCTTTTGCCAACAAGGCTAATAAGTTGTGTGTCAATTGCATTGCAAGAAATTACATCAAATGTTCATTAAAACTTGCTAAGCAAAAGATGTTTAAAATATGTTTCATAAAAAATTTTAACAAATTGTAAAGGAATTTTCAAATTACATTTCCCTTAAAAAATATAAATAAATAAGAATTTCTTATTCCATTAGACTTTCTGTTTCGTGTGAACTGTTTCAAGCTGAAGCAAAGAAAAAAGAACTGCATATCACATCCTGTGAAATAGAAGAAGAAAAAAACTGGTCAAAACTTGCCTCCTCACCATTTCAAGTTATAAATATAGAATGTACTACTATTGTTATTTTTGATGTAGTTGCAAACATAATTGATATGTATTATTAATGTAATTATTATAACTAATGTAATTATTATTATTGATGTAATTATTATTATAAGAAGTAGTATTAAAATATCATATTGAAATATTAATTATTAGCAGATAATTTATCTACTGTATAATATCTTAATATAACTGTAACAAGTATTGTATTTCTAGGCCAATGACCCCATCTTGATCAGGTTTTGTTCAGTTTCCCTGATCCTTTGAGCAAATGCTGAGATGGCCCCTTGTTTGCTTCTGAACAGTAATATAATTTCGCTCTCTCCACCCAAGGCATCATATTGACTCATCATACACGATAATGACATGATAATTAATACAAATTTATAAAATAATTATTTAAAAAGTCGATAGTTTATAAAAATATGTAGGGAAAAAGTTACTTCTACGCTAATACGCTTCTACGCTCGACAAGTGCTCGAATTCGTTGGCACTTTTCATAACAGATGAAAGGGCATGTAGAATACATTTATTTTTATTATAAAGCAGCACCTGAGCATCATCGCTAAGATTATCGTAATATTTACTTCGAACAGTTTTCAAAAAGAAATGGTATCTACTTGATGTGTGTTGATAAAATAGTGTTTTTTAAATCCAATTTGTCGACGAAATTTGCAGCCAGACCCAAAATAAACCGAAAGAAAGCAAAGATCATTGTAAATAAGTGTGACAAGTCACACGACCCTCGACATAATAATTATTATAATCGACATAATAACCATAATACAAGCAAAAACTTAGTAATTCTCTGGCTTTAAATCGCTTACGCTCATGGCAGAGGTTGCCGCCCAACGCTTTCCCGCCAAACGTTGTGACGTCATTCTGGATATCTTTGTAAAAAAATTATACACCGATTTCCACGACTGCACCGGTTACCCTACATGCTCTATATACTACAAATGTAGGTGATTACTGTAAAATAAAAATATCAGCACGTGCAGTTAATATTATTTGTATTATTTCCTCATATATTTTAAACATGAATTAATCATTTTTTGAATTTGGTATTTTACCAGCGTTTTGTATATAGTGGGAAATAAGAGTGGCAACACTGGCAAAAGTGCAGCACGTTAGAAATCAAAGAGTATATATCAGAGACGGCACTCAATGTTAAAAGGAAAATCCTTATTTGCCCAACTTCTGGTGCCGCCACATTGTTCTGTATAATTTCTATTGGGTGAACGGACAGCCAATAGCGAAGTAACCGGTAAATTTGAAGTAAACCAGCGACGCGGGAACTTTAAAATTTCACTCCCATACTTTCCACGCCTTAATGTATTAAAAAATTCACAATAATAATTATAAGGATTTTATGGAAGAAAAAAAGTCAAATTAGGGTAGTAAAATCTAGTATTTATTGAGCATATTGATATGATACAATTTCGTAATTTTATTAGTAATAACAACTTTGAATTACAGAAAGTAATAAACAGTACACCTGCATAATTGCAACCTTAGTATTTGCTTGTAGATATGCCAAATTAATACTATGGAATACTACATTATAACAAGCATTATAAATAAACAATAACAGAATTGAAAAGAAACAAATGAAAATACTACCGCACATTTGCCCAGGTAAAAGA